TTTGCTTTTTGATCACAGGGCTTGGGCAAACTGCTCTGTTTTTTATGGAATGGGAGGACAAAACAAGAGATGAAAGAGAAAGTTTCACATCAGAGTAATAGGAGTTTTCAATTTGGAACACAAATGATTCTGGGGTTGGTGAAAGAGGAAGAATGTGATTTTAGGAGTTGTCAGCTTATGTACACAGGACTAACAATAGATGTTTTCCACGAGGGCTCCTTAGTTCTGAAACTTATTCCCCGTCACTGATTACAAAACAGCATGAATATATTAAAGTTAGCAGAATGCTCTAAAGTATCTATTTGCTAGGATTTTTAGGGAGGACTGAGAAGATAGGTGTAATAAAGTCTTTGGGTGGACTGCATTCACTGCTTTGTAACATTTGTTGTTAAATTCATTTAACATTCTTTTCTTCAAGTTTTACTACATATGTTAGGTGGTTACTTTTAGTAAATTCATTTTTTATTATTAAATTGTTATTGCTCCAAGAGCTCATAGGTATCTTTTTGTATTTAAAATACCAAAACATTTCTGATAAATTCCTTCATAACCTGGAAATTAAATGCTCATGCCAAATAATGATTTTGATAAGAAAAGTAGAAAGTATATCCTAGTAGTTAAAGTTTGTACTTACTAGGTGAATTCCTGTTCATTTGTGCCTAAAACAAAAATGAAAAATACAAATAAATATAATTTTTTATTAACCATCTATTAACGAACCAAAGGATGCAGACATTATTTAACATGTATCTTTGCCAATCATAGCTTTGTTTTTAATGCTGCAGACACAGCTTAAAGCTCAAGGAGGGCACAGAACATGCGCAGGATCCAGGTGAGGGTAAGGCAGGAAGGGAAGAGCAGAGGAACAGGGAGCACTGGCAGAAGGCAGGGAGGCAGGAAACAGGAAAGGCTATTTGGAGTTTGACGGTTGGGAGTGCTACAAACCCTAGCTAGCTGAAACTATAGCCAGTGGAGTGGGGGACATTTTAAACAGTGGGAGTGCTGAAATTCAGCTCTTTACCTCTGTCCACCTTTTGCACCACCTGAGGCCAGCAGCAGAGCCCATGGATGCATGGGGCCAGTAGCCCGGGTGTGCTGCACCACCTCCACATCCCTAATTCCCGTGCCTGTGACTACAGAAGTCCTGAAGTACCATTAAAAAATGAAGTCTACATGTAATTACATGTAGATCACACGCACTGCACACCCAAATAGCATGGATATAAACAGCAGTGACAGAGGGTGAGGTCTGGCTTGGGTGAGTAGAGTTGAGAAAATACCCTACACTCCTGAACCCCTTTGGTATATATCCTACATGGCTCTGCATTCACTAAAGAACTGCCTCCCTCTATTTTTTGCAGTGTAGTATCCTGCTACCAGAATCTTGCACTGCGACATATATCTACATATGTAGTGCCTGTACTTTACATTCCACCATAAATGTGGATACAGACATACTGTGTAATGGAACAGAAGGGATATGGAACACATATAAACATGTTCTTAGGTATAGAAAGCTAAAAAGAAATAGTATTGAAATACTTCTTAAAAAATACCAAGGGCTGGTGCACCCTGCTCACTACACTTACCAACCCCGTTTGTTGGAGTAGGCAAGCATGGCTCTCCTCCTGGCTGCCGGGGAGGAGAGGACTGGGGGCAGCACCAGCCCCAATCTCTCAGCCCCCCTGGGTGCTAGGGCTGTGCTAGCCCAGACCTTTTGCCCCCACCTCCTCTCTGGCCACAGCCAGTCCCTGCTGGCCTCTCTTCCCCTCCCCTTCCTAGCCATAGCCAGCCCAAGCCTCTTGGCTCCCCCCC